CTAGGCTCTCCATAAACATTGCACCCGTGAACCGAGCAACACAGCAGAGAAAAGAACCCTTGTCCTTTAAAATATGAGGTAAACGGCTTGACTACTTTGCCTCAGAGACCTCCAAGCCATGATATATGAAACACAAATCGGTGCTCAGTGAGTTAAATGTTGAATGTTGAAATAAGAATCAACATCATAGCACTGGGGACACTCCCATAAGTACTTTGTCCCCATCTTCAGCAGCAAGCGAAAGTTCCAACTCCGAATGCACCTCAGATCGTCATGATTTATATGTGCCTCAGCACTGTTCACTCACTCCCAAAGAGCCCTCAAACATCTAGCTTGTCATAAATCAGTATACCACCAAGGGGTGCATAGCCAGCCGTCTATCTGCTTGCTCGTTTCCCAGCACACCAGTATGACCTTAAGAAAATATCCAAAGACGCTAAATACTTGGGACCTCTGAAGTGACACCTGCCACCCTGCACACAGCATGCCTGTCTCCACCTTTCTCAACATGCTCTGTGAGTCAGTTACAATTAGGACATGTGTGTATAGCCGATTCTCAAGCAAGCGGAAGGCAGCAGCGACTGATCAGTGGGTGATGAATCCAATAGCACACTGGCTGCCTTTTCTCCCCAGGACTTTACCTAGCACCCACTTGAGGCTGGGTCTGGAAAAATATATTGCCAGCTATATTTCTCTTATCTCATCTTGCTTACTTCTTCTTTTCTCCTACTGCTTATATCATATAGAGTTGCAGAGAGGAGTTAGATGTAGTTTTCTGTCTTGTTTTATTGCAATTTCTATAGTGTCTCTTTTACTCTCATCTCTTTCTTAGTTGGCCTTTTGCCTTGCAGCCTACTGTTCTCATGTAATACACTCTAACTGCTGGCTGGTTTTGTTCCATTATGACCAGACAACTAAACGATCTGATTCTTTGATGTTCTATGAAATCATTTATCAGTACTGTGCCTACTATTGTTCATAGTTCTTTGTTGGCAGCTGTCTCTTCTTAATCTTCCTGCCACATTTCTTAACATCTCATCTCACAGTGCATTCACCCTGGTAAAATGGTCAGTTATGTTTGAGTTTAATGTATGTTTGTTTTTTTGAAAAACACTCAACGGATACATTTACTTGTTTCACCTTGTTTTAATTCTGAAGTATGCACCTGACAGGATACAGCCATAATGCCAGGAAACAAATTATTCAGTTGTGTTGCCTATGTCTTTTTTATTCAAATAAATACAACCATTAGATTAGCATTTACAAGATTCATTAAGAGACCAGTCTCTGGTACATGAAAAGGCACATTACAGTGCAGATCTGATTAGGAGTACTCATCGGGGACGAAAACAAAATGGTTTTTCTTATCAGAAATTCCTCTTATCCACATGAGAATTCAAGCAAGAACAAATGCCGGGGATAAAACAAATTATTCTTCACAACAGAAATTCTCCACATCCGAGATTACCTTAAGCAGTCTGCACTGTAAGCACAATATATTAAAGCTCTTCAAAACATAGAGATAGTAATACAGTATTTGTGAAAGGTGCAAGATGAGTATTATAATACATTATGTACAAAGTCAAGGCAGATTCTTCTTTTCAGTCTCACTGTCAGTGGTTTTCAGATAAGAAGGACACAGGCCTCTGTGAAGGCTGTGATGTGATACATTTCCTCCACTGATCCATAAAACCTAGTTTCCACTGGAATTCGAACTGGCCAGACCTGGCTTTCACAAACAGATTTCAGATCAAGTGAAATATTACAAGCAAAGTGAGCAAACCACTGGTAATACTGGATCTTTATAAATATTGTTTTAAGTAACAAGGCTCATATACACACTTTTAAACAAAAAAGAAGGGTCTTCATGGTGGAGTAGTTCTTCTCCTTCTTCAAGTTCACCATCTGTAGACTCCAGAGGAAATTTCTGGTTGTTCATCCACTCCTGAATTTTAGTCCTCTTCCTGAACTTGAGCTTTGTAAGAGCTTCTGTTTTACAGATCTGGCTTGTCTGTAAGCAGACTGTTGGTTCCTCACATCTCAGGCAGATGTTATCTGACTTTGAAGGAAACACCTCTAATTAGTCAACTCCTAGGACATGCTTGTTAAAGAGGGGGTGGGGGGTGGGGGGGTGGGGGGTCTATTCTATTTTCAGCTACAGTGGGACCCCAGAAGCCACATAGGGAAATTTGCAGTGGTCAAGCCATTTGCATGTCTTTGATTAAAGCCAAATGTTTACAATGGTGACAAAGCAAAAATACAAATTGTTATGGCTGTTGAAAGTAAAGCTTTAAAAAAACAAATCTGTTTTAAAACTAGAAATGATGGGGAACTAAGAGTTAATGTAACACTTGAGGTCGAGTAGGTTGGTGTAACAAGTGAAATAGGAACGAGGAGTTAATGTAACACTTGGGTTGGAGTGGGTGAGTGTTTTAATTGGCGGGGAGCTTGGAGTTGATGTAACACTTGCTAGGTCACATTTTGCCCATTGGCTACAGTGGTTATTGGGTCACAAGGTCAAGTAAGGGTCATGCTACAATTAATTACAAAAGATGTAGGCTGGTTGATTCTATGCGTGTTTATCGATTACTCCTCTTACTTTCTATAGTATTTGTTCCTCCTGTTTTGGAAGATAAATTGATTTAGTAAGATTTTGTTTGTTTAATGTTTTCAGAGAAATTATGAGAGCTTGGCTTTGGGTTTTTTCTTAAGTCACCGGAGTGAAAGGGTTAACTATGAGGACAGATGTTATAATGCTTATTATGTGGGACAAAACTAATTTTAAAAAACTGTAACAATAATGAAGAAAATAAAAACAGTTAAAGACATTAGGATACAAGTATAATTATAATCTATACATAGCTGCCTATAATTATGCAACAGGTGACACAAAAAATACTTTATTCCTTTAACTGGACAATAAGCTGTGAAATTGAAAACTGTCTTTCGCTGCTGCTTTCTACACTTCTATTCAAGCCAATGACAAGGCAATCATAGCACCAACAGCAGTACAGCTACAAGAACGTATTATTAGACTTCACTCAGAATGCGATAACTATGATATAAAGATCGACATAGATAAAACAGAAGTGATGACATTCTCCAGAAAAAGAAGAACCACCAATATCAAAATTGATAAACACTAGTTAAAGCAGGCAAAGGACTTTACATATCTGGGGAGCATTTTTTCAGAAGATGGAAGCATTAATAAATAAATCCAGCAAAGATGCAATAAAGCCATTCAAGTTTTAGGCCAAATGCCGTCAATTTTGAAATGCAAGTATGTGAATTTGAACACTAAAAGAACACTGCTGAATAAATTTTCTTACCAACGCTATGCTATCAATGCTAAACATGGACGTTGTCTTCAGAAGACAGAAGGAGAAGAGTCAGGACAGAATTTAACAGTTTTTGTACTATGCTAGGTGTAACGAGAAAAGATTGACTTAGGAACGATGATATCAGGAAGAGAGTCGGCACAGAACCAATACTGAACTTAACAGGTAGACAACAAATCAAATGGTTTGGCCATGTAACAAGACTGGCATCAGACAGGGTACCATGGAGACTAATGTTATACAGTGTTAACAGAGATAGAGGTCAACCGCCCAGAAGAATGACTGCAGAAATATCAGAGACACTGGAAAGTACTTTATATGAAGCCAATAAAAGGGCCCATTCCAGATATCACTTCCTGCCCTGACGCCGTGAGGCATTTCAGGAGTAGTGAAAAGAAGAAAGAAGAAGAAGATTCAAGCGAAACAATTTCTTGAGGCCTTGAATATGTGGTAAACAGAAGAATTCTAGAATTCCGTAGACAGTCAAAAAGAGCAACCCAGATGTTTTGACAAAGCACTTGATGATTATGCACCTTTTTCGGATGGTGTAGGGCAGGGGATAATTTTAAGCCTGAGGATTTAGGACTCCACAGCTAGTACAGTTGTTATAAACTGTACAGTTTAGGACATTTTTTGTGCGCCTTTAACAGAAAATGCAAACATCTTACCAAGGAAAAGATCTTTAGAAGAACCAAAAGATATCAGAACTCTCAAATATAACATTTTAAAATGTTAACAATCTTTCAAACATTAACAATAGTTTTTGGCAGTCAAAAGTGCAAAGTAAGTAAACAAGTTAAAAGTAATAGACCCTTTTCCATGCCGCCAGCCATACTGGGCATATAGGGCTAGACCTATATTTGATAGACCAGTTGGCACTTAGCGGGTGATATGGCCAGCAACAGGCCAGCCGCCCTTACTTCCCAGGACTGAACCTGGTACCCACTCAAGGCTGGGTCGATCTAGGAGCCAAGGTCATTTTTTTTAAACGAGTCTGGTTCCACAAGGAACCAAACCCATGACCTTCTGATCTGCAAGCAAGTGCAAAAGTGCAAAGAGCGGATGGTAAATTTGCTTCCTCTGCCCAAATGCAAAATTAGACAAAAATGACTGCAACAGACAAACAAAATATTCACAATGTGTGTGGACTTGGGTGGGTGGGACACTGTGAGGCTTTGAAACTGCCCATAACACACTACAGCCACAATGGGGCTTATTTACCATTTACCTTTTTGACTAAGAGCAAAGCCAGTTAAATTGTAATGAACCGCTAATTATGTGAGACCAAAATGGAGAAAACTTAAGCTCAGTGGACAGTCTTCTGCTCTAGTGTGTCTAATAAATGTTGTCTTCACTACTGAAGAACTCACTGAGATGGCATCAGCATAGATAGAAACTATTTCGATAACCTGGAAAACTCATTCACAGTAAAGTAAACCCCTCCTCTAGTAAGTCTACCATCTTCTATTAAGAATGTTCAAGAATATTCTAGGTTCACACCCACCTGATCAGTCACCTCCATTGTCATAATTATTGAATCTCACTGGCCTGTGAGTTTTCTTTATCTCATGATGGACCAGCAAAAGCAACAATATGATATGAAAATGAAAAATAGAAGAACAATCATGGATTGTGCATGGACAAACTCACAGGTCAAAGAGTTTACGGCTTTTTTCTCCCTACACCAAACTTTTCAACACAATATTTATATGGCAAATGTTTTGTAATCATATTCTCTCGTTTTCTGTTGTACTTGGCCATAAAGAATTTAGCATCTTTACTTATTGTCACATGTCCATTTTTTACTTCTGCCCTGAAGAAAACGAAAACATTGCAACATCTATCCAGGTATCTTTTTCGACACTCAACACCATTAGTGTTTGGAACTTCTATGGTGAAGTTAAGATTCTGTTGACCTGTCAGCGATGGAAAATTTGCTCCCCGGTTCACGTTTCGAACATCTACCAGTGACAATCTAATGTAGATTATTTCTGGGTTTATGTCTTTGTGTACCAGAACTTGAGCCAGCCGACCATGAATAACTGAGGAGTATAAAAGATTAACCATAGAATACTAGTCTGATCATAAGAAATACGTTAATAAATAAATAAATTAATTAATTAAACAATTAATCAAGAATTAACATCATTGCACTCCAGATATTCCCATACATGCTCTGTCCCCTGCCTCAGTGGCCAGGGTCAATGACCCTGTGTGGGGTCTGGAGCCCTACATTGGAGGGGACAAGTACATACCCACCGCACCCTACTCCCAAACAAGCAGGTTGTAAAAGGTGACTTTTTAGTAGTGGGTTACAATCAAATGTGCAGGGTTGAAAGGAGTAGAAATCATAGTCTAGCTTTAAACCACAACACAATGAGTCATTGCACTTTTAACCCTTTCACCCAGAGAACTGAAAACTTATAACTTAATTTGTGACACATACCCCGTAAATGCTGATGTAACCGCATTTCTGCAGTGGCCTGTTTTCACCAAGCCTAATTAAATGCCACTGGTTCTATTTGCACCTGCCTAGTGTTTAGGAGACCCGGATATGAATATATTTACTAAAAATAGCATTGGGGGGGGGGGGGGTCTTGTGAACAAAATGGCCTTTCTAAAGCTACTGTGATTTCTAAGTTTTCTGTAGCCGCAGTGTTCGAGGTCATTGTGTGAGTCACCCAAAACATATTATTTGGGCCCCAGGAAAGGTACCCCTTTTATTGCTTCATCTAGTTCATGTTTATTATCCCCACCCCTCCCTTTAAATATTTTGAAATAAACATTTTTTATTAGTGACCTACGAAAAACTTTTGTTTTTGTTTGTTTGTTTGTTTTGTAGGATTTATTTTCGAGAATTTCCAAAGTTCCTGTCACTTTTAAATAAAAAAGTGTTTCTAGGGCAAAAGGCATTAAGGACAAATGCAAAAGAAAATGATCTCTCAATGGAGCACAGGACTTCAACCTATTATCATTAGGACCTTTGTAGACTAGCTTATCACTGGTTGGATTTTGTGGCCATTTTAAATTGGATGAAGTAGCTAGTCTCAGGGTAAATGCTAACTGTCTTTGCTGCCTCTTGTGTTAAGCTTTTTTGCTAGAAAAAAAGGTACTGGTACCACAAAGCGTAAAATAAAAATAAAAAAGTGCTATACTGCCCACAAAGTGTCTCCTGCAGTAGTGCTAAATAAATTATGCCTTTATTTAAAGAAAAAAACTGGTGCTGGTAATGTGTACCACCAGAAGAAATGCCTGCCTTGTTATGACAAGCAAGGTAGTCTAGGTAAATATTGCAGATATTTCCAATAGGATATGAAGTTTTAGACCTTCCCTGCAAACAAGGTTGGGAGACCAGTTCTCCTCCTCCTGGTTTTTTTACCCCCCAGAAAATGTATTGAACTAAAAAAAAATTTCAACACAATGAATCAGCAGTCCTTGCTTAAATGGGGTGCAGGAAACCCCTATAGGCATTCCAGTGACTCAAACAACCACTATTCAGATGCAAATCCCAGAAATTCCGTTTAACCTTCGAATTCGGAGTGCATCTGGCTGATAGGCAAGGAACCAGCAATCTGCATACAAATGAGTCAGATCTGTAAAACGGATGCACACTTAACACTCAGGTTCTGGAACAGGCCTGCAGTCCAAAAGTGGATGAACATCCAGAACTTTTTTGCCAGAGTTTACAGCTGGTGAGCACGAAAAAAAAAAAAAAGAAGCAGTTGAATGCTAAATTAAGAATTGACATCATAGGACTCGGGGCACTCCCATACATGCTCCATCCCCATCTTCAGCAGCAAACAAAGAGTTCCAGTTCAGATGATACCCGTAACTGTCTGATTGTACATTCGTCTTGTCTTTCCCTTGAGTGTTGAGTGTCGGCCAGATCCTCTGGTAAGAACAGCTGGAGTTGTTTATATTTTATCATTTATTTAAGGCTTATGCAACACATCTGACTATGTCTTCCAGGTAAATCAAAAGATAGTTCCCCCCTCCCCCATTTGACACACCTGCACACACTAGCTCGCTTCTGATAGGTATACCTTCAGCCTACCTCACTTCTCATTGGTCGGCCTCGAGCCATCCAACTTTCACACAAGGTGACAGGGCTGTTCCACAATGCCGTTGATATAACATGTTGTATATTTCACCATGCAAGAGCTTTTAACACTATAAAAACATTTAGAAACTGGGTCTAACACACAACGCTGCCTAGAGAGTGCTGCAACATGTCACAGCAATCTCTTTCTTGGGAAAAAAGACTTAAATGCAAGACAACAACAGACTGCCACACCCATAACCTCGACCACGGTAGATTGGTCCAACAAATTTATCAATGGAATGTGACCTACTTCCCGTGGGGAGACTAATGTTTGTTTAAATGTCTTCCAAGTGTTTTCCATAAAAGACTAATTTCTCCATTCCACTGCTTCTATTGTTATATCCCTTAAATGTCACTTTTTTTTTTCTAATGGTTTTGACAACTGGCCTTATGTTTAATGTGACAGTTTACCAGTCAGGAATATAGCAAACACAACATGAACATAATGGCTTACCATAATCAGTTTCACATGCGTATCTGATAGCACCATCAAAATGCAATAAAGCCTTGTTGTTGCATAGCCGCTGTACATCAGGCTGGTTTTTCTCAACAAACATACGTGGAACAATCTGAAAAACAGAGAACAACATGTCAATTCACTAAGCACAGACCTTAATATATCTAATAAAAACAAGATTTATTTATAGATTTAAATTTTAAAAATCCATAAACCTTAGGAAGATGATATACAGTCTATATGCCACTTTTGCTTTTGTGAGGTAAAGTACACAGAAAAAAATTCACTGAAGTCTCAGAGATGTGGTTTTATAAGAGAATGCTTAAAATTCTTTGGAGAACCAAAGTGAACCTTCTTCTTCATCTTTCTTTCTCCCCTCTTCAGATGAGAAGGACACAGGCCTTGTGAAAGCTAGGTGTATGGCATGTCTTCCACTGATTCATACAACTTGGTTTCTGTAGGAATGCCAACTGGTCAGACCTGGGGTCTTTCTACTGCATATACAACACAAGTCTCTAGCATATGCTCTACATTCTGGGGTGCCTGCCAACATGAGCAAAGTTCCCAAATCTTGAATTTCCTTTACATTTGCGGACTTTGTTGTTTTCTTTTATCAAATATAGTGGTCTGTTTCTTTTGTGTGAGGTGGCTGACTGGGTCTTTGGGATTGTGTTCTTAATGAGTAGTGTTCCAGCTGGTTTTTATGGTGCCAAAATGGGTAATCCAGTTGTTCTAAAATAGACTAAGACTCGAAGATGACAAAAACAAACATCAGAAAGCCGCTGCCATTATTTATTGTTATGTTATCACACTGGGCTTTGATAGTCCTCCAATGCAGCAACCACTTCAAGATAAGGTACCTCTACTGATTGTTCTGAAGGTTGGTTATAGTGTATCCTATCTTGGCCTTGAAGACATCTTAGGCAAGTTTCATGTACCTTCAATCAACTTTGTCACAGATGATCAGCCATGCCTTGATATCAAACAGTCCAGCAACTTTTCTCTCCTTCCCTTCCACTTTCCTACTGTCACGATATTCTCCAGGTTTCTCTTTCTCATCACATGACCAAATAATGTAGATTGTCTCTTTCGGTGTGGCAGTCAGTTCTCTCCTGGGTCAGTTTCTTTCAAAACATCTTCATTACTCTTTTTATCTGCCCAGGGTAGTCTCATCATTCGTCTTTAAAACGACATCTCCGCAGCTTCTAAATAATTTTTCACTAATCTACTGACTGTCCATGATTCACTTCCATTTATCAAGATATAATTTATATAGCTTTTAAGAATTCTCTTTCTCATCTCCACTGACAAAGAAAGATTGCATAAAATTTTTGTTTTGTAAAATGCTGCCTTTATGTAAATATAAATTCACCTTTTTATTTTGGCACTTTGAATGTTTATTGTCAAAGAGCTCCCTGTCCCCACAACACCGGATGGTCCCAGATCTAGAATATGGAAACATTTCTCCACAGCATTCTGTAGTAGAAGTGATGATGGCAGATGTCCCACAACATTCTGTATTTTCATGCCGGGTGTGAACCATGCCCTCACAACACACTTGAGTTACAGCATCATAAGTCTTGCTACCACAGGTAGCCAAGCACGGGTTCTGTGGATCCCCAAACTTGTACACTGTGAAGTCCCTGAGACAGCACCTGGAAAGTACAATTTATAATGCCAGATTATTCAGTCATAGAAATAAATGAACACAGCAAAAATATGACTAGGAAGCTTGACTGCAGTCACTCTGATGTTCAATACCATTCTTCTTCTTCTTCTTCTTGGCACTTACTGGCTGTAAACTCCAGCAGAAAGTTCTGGTTGTTTGCCCAGCTCTGGACTTTAGTCTTGTTCCAGAATCTGACTGTTGCATGCACATCCTTTAACAGACCTGACATCATTGTATGCAGACTGTTGGTTCCTTGCCTCTCAGGCAAATGCACTCTAACTTTGAAGGAAGCTCCCAGTTAGTTAACTCTTAGGACATGCGTGTTGGGGAGGCAGTGGGTCTGTTCTTGTTTTTCCCACAACGAAGCACCAGAAACCACTCAGGGATAAACTATTCAATCATGAGGTTGGTTTTCAGACTGGATCAATAATGCAGGGGCCGTGTTAGTACAGTCGATAGGAGGCTCGCTTTCAATCCAGCTGAGCAGCCATGGTCGGTGTTCGAAATTGGGAGGTTCCAGAACTTGAGTGTTGCGCTCATATCCATTTTACAGATCTGGCTTTTTTGTTTCTTTGATTCATCTGTTTATCATTTCAGTACATGTCTGGTGATTCTCTACTCATGTCTTTGCCTTCTTTTTCTTATTCTCTGTTTGTTCTCAAAATGGTGATTGACATGTTGTGGTTTACACCTAGGCTGCAATAGTTGCACCTGTTGGCCCAACATATAAATCAGCAAACCCCTTAATTAGTCATCTTTCATGACAAGCTTGATGGGGCAGGGGAAAGAGCCGTGAGTCTATTCTTTGTTTGTCTAAAATTGAGCCTCCGAACCCAGACCTTTTTTGTCTAATAAGTTATTTTATTATCACACTTGTTTCTTTTTCTCTTGAGTTTGAATAAAAATTACTGTTCCTGGTTTTTTCCAATTTTTTTTAGGGTCACTACAATGCATGGGCATCCTTTATGGTGAATTACAGAAGGGTAGAAGTTGCTGAGGGTAGCCTCTACTTCTTCTTCTTCTTTTCCACCTTTTACCTCATCAAAGTGTCAGGGGGAGATGTAATGTTCGTTGATGAGCTCTGTCAAGAGCACTATTAAGACTGATGTTCATTTCTGTAAGGCTGTTCTTAATGTCATCCCTCCATCTTTTCTGAGGTCTTTCAGTCGCTCTATACCAGTTGTAACGTTTTAGTGTGGCTCGCTGTGGAGGATAGTACCAGGGCATTCTTGTTAGGTGTCCAAACCACTTCATTTGTTGTTCTTTGATGACCCTCTACAATATAAAAATGTGTGCAAGTGGGACATGAATAATAACTGATTTGTGGAAACAAAATGCCATGGACCATGAATCATGGTGGGGGATAATCAACTAACAACAATCCATGACTATTACAAACATGAGTTAAATAACCAAACAAGAGATGTCAACCTACCTTCCTTCTGTCAGAGGTATGTTGCTGATCTCATTATCACAACATTGTTGAGATATGCTTTTGTAGGGTTTCATTCCACAACAATCATCGTAACCTGAACTCTTATTCTCCACTCTGCCACTGCAACAAATCTGAGTCGCTGGATAATAATAATTGGACCTGGAGCATGGTTTTGCCTCTGGTGGTACAATCATGATCTCCTCATCAACACAAAATTCATTTTTCTTTGAATTATAAGTTGTCCCATTGTGAGTGCGCGAGTTGTAGCAACACCCATCATCATCAGGCAATCTTTTGTTACAACGTGTGATATCCTCGCAGCACAGCTGATCATCATTGACACCTTCTCCATTGCAGCAGATCATGTTTTTGGGTACAATGCTAATATGATCACCTATTGAGTTAGGGAAAAAAGAATAATGGTGAGAATTATGAAATTAAACATGTAGTTTTCATAGCTCAAAGATATTTCTACATGATACCCTAACCATTGACCACTGTTATCATGTACCCTACCAAAATGCATAATTGTCATGGTTGGCTATTTCACACGATCCCCAGAATCACAGATGAGGTCTTACGCTGCTCAAACTATGTGGCCAAACCATTTAGGTATTTATCTCTTTGTCTTGTCCTTTCTCCTCACCCCCCCCCCCCCCCCCCCCCCCCCCCCAATCTCCACACCCCTTATAAAATTTGCCAGGTTTTGTAGTGAACAATCTGAAAATATCTTGGCTTTTCGCATTTTTAATTTCTCTGATCAGTTTACGGCTTTCATCTGTCGTCCCAAGCTATTAGCTACTATTAAATGTATGTATCCTAATATCTATCTGTGGATAATGATCAGTATAACATACTGCACAATTAACTGCCTGGTACAGTTAGCTGTACCTTATCAATATCACTACTACAAATTGTATGAAGCACAAAAAATGATTTCAGAACTAGTCAAACTGCAATTTTCTTCTTCTTCTTCACGTTCACCAGCTGTAAACTCTGGTGGAAAGTTCTGGTTGTTCGTCCACTTCTGAACTGCAGTCCTGCTCCAGAACCTGAGTGTTGTGTGTGCATCAGTTTTACAGATCTGATTTTTTTTAATGCAGACTCTTGGTTCCTTGCCTCTCAGGCAGATGCACTCCGACTTCAAAGGAAGCTCCCAAATTAGTCGACTCTTACGACATGCTTTTGGGTAGGCAGTGGGTCTATTCTTGTTTTCCCCACAATGGGGCCCCGGATACCACACAGGGAACTGCAATTTTGATGCAAGTGACAGATGGAAACAAGAGATTAAATAATTATCTTTACAAAATTCATCTACAATTCTCTGTCAAGACTAGTAAAAGTTTCACTGGCAGAATAGAGGAAAAGATGAAACAGGTAGCAGAGTCAAATCCTAAACAGTTACACACAATAATAAGCAATAACTTTGAAAGTGAGACAAATCCAACTAAAAGAACAGAGCCAGACTCTTCCAAGCCACGTCATCTGAGAGACTCCAAGCTCATGACTGTGCCTTCTGATCTCATTGCGAGATACGTCCTGATATCAAAGGGTTTTTTAAAACCCAAAAGTAGCTGTATATCATAAAAAATATGCCACAACGACTCTGTTCTGGCAAAAAATTGAGAAGGGGATAGTGGGGCATTGGTAGATAGAGCCAGGACTTTTTTCTGGTAGTATGCTATGGTGAGCAGTACCGGCACCTTTTTATGGCTTTTTATCAGTACTGCTGTAACAGAGATGTTGTGGTGAGTACCCGCACTTAAAACAAAAACTGAGGACGGAACTCGTTAGTTTGAATGGAGACTGACAACAGGAAATAAACCATTTAAAAACATTTACAAAAATGACGGCTGAAATCAAACACAGTAATTTCTGCTCAATTTATTTAACACATTCTCTTTGAAGAAAGAATGAACAGTATAGATGGCTATAACTGTAAACGGTGTAAAAATGGAGACAGAAATGTACAACACAGATTTTACTTGATGATTTGTTCACGATAAGCTAAAATTGAGAGCTTACCTATACAACAGTCATGACTGCTGGTATCATAACTCAGAATATCCCCGCAGCATTTCTCACGAACTCCATCAATGTAGTTATCAGCACAGCGTGTCTTTCCCGGCATTTTCTCCAGAACGATTCCCTTATAGCAGTCTTGGTGCGTGTCATTATACCAGCCTATAAAACAACACACATGAATGTATAGGAAACAATAAGTAACAAAATGTGATCAAAAAGCAAAAAGATGAGAAATGTGTTCTTAATCTATAACTAAATGCATATGTTATCTCATTAATTAGATTTTAAATAGTAGATGTACCAACTGCTCATGAAAACAAAAACACCCTTGTTTTTTTTGTGTTTTTTTTAACAAATAGTTGTTAACATCTTTTTCTAATTAAACCGAAAAATACTGTTACTAAAACAGATTATTTCAAGTCTAGATGAGCTTTTTTTTTCCCAAATTGTTTGATGCGGTCCGTGGAACCTCCTCAAGCCACCCCTGTTGAAGACCACTGATCTATCTCTATCCATTTTTTCGCTGGTCTTCTTCTCTCCTTCTGTTCAAATGTTCTGCGTTCTGACTAAAGAGTCAAAACACTTAATTCTCTTTCTTTCAATGTAACTCACGCACAGTTGTGTTTCAACCTTCTCTCTAATGCTGGTGTTTGTGACACTGTCCCTTCTTGTATTGTTGATGACAATTTAGAGATAGTGCATTTAACAGATAGTTATGTTCTACTTTTGTGCTCGACTGGACTTTTTTTTTTTTTTGACAATGGAAAAAATGACTTAAAGACAGAATACCTGATAATAACACAACAGGGAAAGGATATAAACTCAGGCCAAATACAAGTCAATTAAATGAAAATCAAATGAATGGAAACATATCAGTACTTGGGTGCTGACTTGAACTGCTCCAACATGCTGAGAGAAGAAGTACAGTCTAGAATACAGTCTGGAAATAAAGTATACTATGCCCTGCTAAAATCAAAGTTCCTTTCTCGCAAAACCAAGATCAAAATATATAAAATGTTGATAAGACGAGTCCTTTTATATGACTCTGAAACTTGGAGCACAACTAAAAGAGATGAAGCCTGATTACATATTTTTGAAAACATTTAGAGTCTTATGACAAACCTATGGACCCATCAAAGATGCAAACAGTTGGAATGAAAGAGAAGCAACAATGAAATTCACAATCTGCTAAAATCATCACTGGCATCATGAGAGCTAATAGGCTGAAATGACTGGGCATACTGAGAGAATGTCAGATGACAGAGAAGTAAAAACTGTATACACAAGGGAGCTGAATGATAGTAGATGATGAGGCAAACCAAGAAGATAAATAGAGATATAATATGCAGACAGAACTACAAACACTTGTCACCAATTGAAAAAGGAAGGCCAACCAGACAGATGAATGGAGGGAGGCAGGCGATATCTGCGGCAATGAACCTCAAGGGATCGAAATGGTGAAGAAGAAGAAGATAACATAAAGTAGGGATGAAAATACTAATACTAGACCAATGCCACAATGTGTAACTCACTTACCATCACCACAGCAATGGATCGTAGGCTCATTTGGGATGATGTGTGTTGTAAGTACTGTTCCAATGGCTCTACAACATTTGTTCTTGGTACTGTTGTAGACAATATGGTCACAGCATTCTCTGTGAGGATTCACTTCTGCTGAATTAGTGGGATTTACTTCTGGCACGGAGTTAAGCAGCCCTGTTGTAAAGATATTGCAGTAAATAATGCACAGGATATAGAAATCCACAGCTAAACAGAAGTGCATTCTATTAAAGCTACAAATAAAACATCTCATTAAAATATTTTCAATCAAGACTGCACTGTAGAAGCTGCCACGTGGTGTAGCAGCTAGACCCTCGCCTGCAGATCGGAAGGTTGCGGTTCAGGTTCTGATTGAGCTGGACATTTTTTTTTTCAATGACTTGGCACCCAGGTTGACTCAGCTTTAAAATGAGTACCAGATAAAGTCCTAGGAAGTAAAGGTAGCCAGCGTGATGCTTACCACATCACCCACCAAGTTCTGATCAGCCTATAAAATATAGGTCTAGCCCTACATGCCCAATATAGATGAAAGTATGGAAAATGGTCCTTTACTTTACTTACTTACTATATTCACTGTACATGTTTTGCCCCCTTCTAAGACCCCAGCCTGAAAGACTGACACCCAGTGACTTAAAGATGCAAATTCATCAGGAACAATTGCAAGAAACCCTGTTCAATCATATAAAACTGTTATTTTAGGACACCCTAGAGTTATGAATAACAAGGATGCCCTGAAAGAAACTGATTGGCTACATCAGAAAGAGAGAGACCATCTACATTCTATGATCGTGTGATCAGAAGGAGAAAACTAGAGTACATCATGCTGGTAGGAAAGCTGGAGGGATGGAGAGGGAGAGGAAGACTGAGAGAAAAGATGCTGAACAGTTTGGCATCATGGCATGGACGATCATCTGTGTCAGAACTGACTGAATGTGCACGAGACAAAAGGTTGTGGATAGACATGACTATAAAAGCCACACTGCATGGACTTTAAGAAGAAGAGTTAGGAAGTAACCTGCTATCCAATTTGGATGGGTTTATAGTTTTTAAATATCTATAGTTTTTGATGGCCTCTACTATGAGCAGTGCAAACGGAACGTGAATGATACACATATTGAGGTAGATTTGTGTGAACAAAATGCCATGGACCATGTTGAAAGGAAGGGGAAAATCAGGATGGGAATAGGAATAAAGGATAAAATGATTGCAGAAAGGTTGAGAGCTGAGCATCAGAGAAGAAACACATTAAATACATGTGATAGCAACAACAATCCTGAAGTCTCATGCTCTAGCTGTGGATGTTTCTTGATGTGGGTGGGTCTTGCAAGTCACAATGGCAATAACCAAGGGCTGTGATCCCATGCCTGCCTATATAACTATGTAACACTATCACTGGAAAGATGCCAAAAATAGTGTTCAAATGCTGCACATGAATTCTTTGGTGTTCCTTTATTTTCTCTGGTTCTGTGGGCTCACAGTTATTAACATTTTTCTCCTCAGTATGTATCCTATCCAATGCCAGCATCTTTTACCCCCTATCTCCCGATTCACTGGAATTTGTTTAGTTCTTCCCAAAAGCTTTTTTAATTAAAACATGCTCATAGATGGTTAGTTTTTGTGTGGCCATAGTATTTTATGAGATTAGCTGGTCAACCCTACATCCCAACCTTGTACGACATGCCTGATAGGATGCCGTTTACTATACTTTGGCTCTCCTAATGGGCCTGGTAACAAATAGGCATCACTTTCATAACTCAAAAGGTGAAGGTAAAAGTGAGAGGATCGACTTCATTGTACTAAGTTTTTAACCCATATGGCTCAGTTTCTCTCTGCAGAACAGCTAGCTGTCTGATAACAGCATCGCACAAAGCATGACCTCAGTATCTCTGGTGATGATCTCTAGGATCTCCGTAAAACCTGTGCACATGAACTGAATGATGCCGCCATTAGACAAATCAATGAGCTCCTATTTTTTGTGCATTTCCATAAGCATGATGTTTTTAATGTTCTATATCCAGTGTGACATGTTGGTAGCACACGTAATATAAATCAAACAAACCAGAGCATGTACAAATAACAGCATTAAAAGCCAGTTAAAATAGAAACATTGAACTTACCACTGCAACAGCTATTTTTCCTGGTGTCATACTTCAAGTTCTCACAATAGCTCTCAAAGGTATTCACAAGAATGGGAGGATCAAATTCATCTAAGCATTTCTTGTCAGATCTCTGATAAATTGTGTCGCCGCAGCAGGAAAAGGGAGAGTTGATGTGAAGTGCTGATCCACCACAGCAAAAATGTGTGGTTCTGTTCATTACATTTACTCCACAGCACTGTAAGAAATCTCTTTCCAAAACTGAAAATTCATAACAAATAACTTTGAAACATAAGTTTACAATCATAACAGTTTACTGAAATGACAATTAACAGTCATTAAAAGAAAAAAAAAAACTTTGAATAAAGCTAGTTGAGAGAAGAAAGTGACACACTGATCCCTTACAAGCAAGTCATGAAAACTGGGAGTCAAGATCGGAACAGCCAGGCTCGAGAAGCACACCAAACACACAAGAAGTCTTGTCAACCAACACAGAACTCGGACTATCAACTGCGGGCCACTGATGTATATGTTGAAAGGGAAATCTGAGCACCTATGGGCGTGTCCAGAATGCCGTGAAGATAACTCAAATCATAACTCATGTCATGAAAACAGACTAATAAGGAATATCATTTCATGAAATCAGATCTGTCAGGCATAAAGGCACAAATATTGCAGACAAGCTAAACTCATACCACAATGCGTCAACCGCCCTTTTAAGTTAAAAAAACAGAAGAAGAAGAAGAAGAAGAAGAGGAAGATGAAGAAGAAGAGGAAGAAGAAGAGAAAGAAGAATAAGAGAAAGAAGAAGAAGAACAGGAAGAAGAAGAAGAAGAAGACGAAGAAGGTATGGCCAAAGTGTTTCAGTTTCCAAGACAAGATGCTATTTACAAGCTCATACTCTCCGATGTTTACATCTTTTAGAATATCATTTTTTCTTTTCTTCCACTGGTTACATTTGCTCCATGGCACTGTAGGGAATCTCTTTCCAAAACAGACAAGTTGTATGAAATAACTTTGAAACTTAAGTTTACAATTATAATGCTATACTGAAATCAGAATAAGCAAACATACCAACAAAAAAACTTTCAATAAAGTTATCGTAATCTTTTTTTTTTTTTATCCATTGATCCAGCAAGCAGGTCATGAAAGGGGACTAATCCGGAATTTCAAGAAATCGGATATGTTTGGCTGAAAAGCACAGATATCGCAGCCTGCCTGTAAACCACAATTGGCAAACCACCCTTTTAAGTGCAAAAAATAGAAGAAGAAGAAGAAGAAGAAGAAGAAAAAAAAAAAGAAGAAGAAGAAGAAGAAGAAGAAGAAGAAGAAGACGAAGAAGATACAGCCAGAGTGTTTCAGTTTATAAGACAAGATGCTACTTACGAGCTGATGCCCTCAATGCTTACATTTTTTAGAATAACTTTTTTTTTTTTAAATTGATAACATCTACTCCACAGCACTGATGGAAATCTCTTTCCAAACTGAAAAGGTCTATGAAATAACTTTAAAACATAAGTTTACCATCATAATGCTTTACTGAAATCACAATTAACAGTCATATTCACAAACACAAATTTCAATAAAGCTATTTTCATCTTTGTGTAAATATATTTGGGAAGGGGGGGGGGGGGGGGGGGGTTGTTTATGCTTAAAATTGAGTTGTATTGCTAAGAGAAAAATAGACCCATTATTCCACAATAAGAAAGCTGTGAAAGGTGATAAATTAGGAAGTTCTTTACATCAGATATGTTGGGCCAAAAGGCACGGCACAGATATTGCAGCTTAGCTGAAAACCATAACACAATATGCAAACCACCTTACCACAAAACATACACGATGTACATACACACACATACACAATCCTACACATGCAGTCACACACTAATAAAGGCCCTTACCATAGTCCAGCACACAGAACCTAATTTACACCAACCTACAGAATCTAACCAATCTAGGACCACTTACTTTGTTTTTGACTGAGTAAAACCTGCGTGCCCTCACAGCATAAAGTGCTGAATTTGTCCAGTACTTCATGTCCACAACAGGTTTGCTCTCGACAGGATTCACTATTGCTAGTACAGTGTCGGCTTGTTCCACTTTCTCCATATGAAAGATAGCGACTGACAATTTGATCTCCACAACATAATTGGGTGCTTTGGAAGTATATCTCCTTGCCTGAAAATGATAGCACATTATTAATATAGTTCAGAATTGAAAGAGCTAACTGGAAATAGACTGTGAGCCAGACTAGACCAAGAACATGATGACGAGATAATAAAGTGTATGTAAAAAAACAAAATTTCTGAGGTACCAAACACGGAATTCACCCCATCTCGCTCGCGAGATCTCATGGCTTTCCTACGGGCTGTCCTTTCTTCTAGGAGTGTTATGAGATGCCTCTCTTCACTGTCTTTTCGCAGCATGGCAAAAAGTGACTGACGTTCGTTCGATGAGATCGACACACTGTCACCCAGAGGCAACTGCGCAGCTTTTGTTTTGGCTACTGTCTTTTGTGTGGATGAATATTATTTATGGAAAATGTTTTCTCCAATGGTATGGACAGCGGACTATTTAGAAAGCAATGGCAAACTAAACTACTAAATGTAAAATTGTCTAGTAAAACCACAAACTACAAAATGTGGGTGTTGGTTCTGCAAGCCCTGTAAAGGATATACAACTACCTTTAACTAAAATGTATGAAGAAAACTTACCACAACAAGCCTGGTCCCAGACACGTTTCTGCAGTTCTCCATTGCAACAAATGTGAAATACATCATTGTATTCTTGATGACCTTTCTCACCAATGCAAACACTATATTCTGTGAAATTGAAAAAAAAAAAGAAACCAGTGATTAACTCTTTAGATCCCGGACTGTTGTCACCTTAACTCATTCTATTTGAATCATTTGTCCTTAAAAACCAGGGCTTTTTTTCTAGCAACAACCACACAAAAAAAGTGTCAGTCCTTATCATAAAGTGTCTAAAATAGGTGCCATTACTCACTAAAAAAAGGGTCTAATACAGTAGCACTGAAAACATGATGCATACAAAAAGAGGTGCCGGCACTACATACTGTTGAGAAACATAAGAAAACATAAGCCCTGTTTACAACTAATAAATTTCAGTATAAGGGAGATAGAATAAATATTCCTATGAACCGATTAGAGTAATAAAAAAAAAAATTAAAAAAAAGATGGTCCACTAATTCCAATATACACTTTTGCTATTTAATACTTTATATCAGATAACATAATTTTTATCAGTCAGTTATTTAATTTATATTGTTATTATTTGATTATTTGTGTCTCTAAATTATACACAAAGACAGCAAATTCAATGGTTTGTCCACTAAAAGAGAATGTCTTGCAGTGTCACACTTGTGTTTAAAATAACTGATTTACATTTACTGAATTTATGTCTACCCTACAGTTGTGAAACACTTATTCTAATTATAATAATGACTTATCTTACAACTAAATTTGTAAATCCCAACACATACATACATGGAAACTTATACCAACTATTTCAGACATATTTAGTTCTCATGAGGTTGTTGCATTTTTTTTTTATGCAGTTAAAAAACAAATTAGCATCACACAACTTACTGCTATGTTATATCATGTTATTTTATATTGCCGAGCGAAAGGCGCAGATATCGCAGCCTAGTTGTTAACCACAACACAACGTGCAAACCAGCCTTTTGAAGAAAAAATTTTTTTAGCCCGCAGGAGAATCATACCCCGATCAACAGCGGAACAGGCTGACTGCTTATCAACTGTACTAACGAAGACTCTGTAGTTTCATTCAAACGAAATTTTATAATGAAAGAAAGCATAGTTCGTAGTGTTCCTGTTCCATATTTTTTACTACATGACCTCTCAAGTCCCTAACTATGACCTCTTGAGGTCCTGAATGAGATTTTTTTGTTTTTGAATAATTTGGGACCGTTATTCGAAAGAGTGCCGACTTTGTTCATCATGTATGTCCACAGCCTTCTGTCTTGTGGACTGTCAATCATTTACATACATACATACGTACGGACGTACATATATACATACACACACACACACATCCTCTTTGGCAACCTCTGCCTTTCTTCCTCTCCAACTTTCAGTATATAATCAGGGTGTACTTAAGTTGTTTCTGTCTGGTGAAATGCTCCCAGAATATGGTTACATTCTTACTGTAATATAAATATTAAACTTTTGTAACAACTTCGAAGTTAAGTATTTAATCGTAGCGTGTGATTTTTAAACTAAACAGATAAACAAGTTTCAGTAAAAACATGCTCATACTTGAGTCACTTCTGGAAACAAACAGTTCAACTAAAACAACTGTCGCTATAAAATAAATAGAGAAATCCATTATAAGTTGCTGTAAAGTAAATATATCTTTCTGTGGGTAACAGATCTGAACAACACATAAATATAAATCTTGAATTACTTTTAAGACTTTTATAGAGAGAACAAGGCCAAGCAGGATCTCATATGGAAATGGCCGATCAACATCCTATCCGCTGGAAATTCCCCGTTTATAATGTAAGATTATTTAATCACACTTATTACAAAATGTGGGCTGGAAAATAAGAAATCCCGCCACAGATTCTGACGCAAGGTAAATTTTTTTTAAACTTCCCTGGAACATTTTTTAAAATTTAAAAATGTTCTTACTTAAATAAAGTTACAGAGGCTTTGACTAGACAGACTGAACTGGAGACTCGGACAAAAAGTGACTCAGTCGCTGAGAAAGTTTAAAGTAACTGTCACAATTTCCCCGATAACTTGAGTCAGTAAGTTGACAACACAGAATAACATAATATACATTACTGGATAAAGATATTAGTGAACTATATTAATCCAAAATATAAGCCAGGAGAGTTGAATAGAAATTTTTATTTTATTTTTACATTTGTTGATTTGTTGGGCGGGGTGAATGTTTTGGTTGCCATGGGACAAAGGGGGACCACTGCAACTATAAAGCCAAGCAAAAGAATGAAAGTAAATGTTACCCCATTAGGACATCACACAAAGCGATAAACACCCGGGGACACAAAGTGCCAACATGCTGATGGGGATCCCCAGTGGAGAGGTCCCGGAAACCCCGTTCAACCGTTAGATTATATTAGGACCCCGGCTACAGCCATGGTGGGGCTTTAAAATAACGAAAAAATCACATCCCACAAGGGGATTCATCATCATCATGTAGCTGGTCCTTTGCAGAACGTTGTTTGGGGTCGCCACAATACGAGGGAACTGTACTAAAGGGTGGCGGCATTAGGAAGATTGAGAGCAACTGCTCTATGGGGTCATAATTGGCGTGGTGTATTATATTATATCGTTCTTAGGTATCGCTGGTGGTTACAATGGGACATGTGGCCTGTGTCAGATGTATTATGGCTGTTGATTTGTTACTGTGCCTGGCTTATTCTGGTGCTCTTTTTGTTGTTGGCCTTCCTTGCTCTCCCGTATGAATCCAATAGTTATGTTGTCGTCTGAAGGAGCTCTTCTGTGTGACTTGAGCAGGTCATCCACCCTGGTCACGTGGTAAGATGCGTTACCCCATACGAACGCAACTAACACATCTATAGAATTTCTTTTATTTCAAGTGTGTTACTATATTGTTTTAAGCCATAAAGCACAATAATACAAATGAGGATAATAATAATTAAAAATGATTATACTCCTGAGAAAATGTGTAATGTATGAACAAATAATTTGAAAGATAATTTCTAAACATAGTTAAGTGGGGTATCTTAACCACCTTGGAACGGGCGTTCAGCTCCCCTTTAATGCTCTTTTATGGGGAAGGGGAGCTTCAAGGACTTGAACCCCACCCAATGACGTGCCTAGAAAATATGTAGGGTGGTAAGGAGGGCGTGGTTTGGGCCTCCACATTTTTTTTACTTTATTGTGGGGGGGGGGCTAAGGGGTCTGTCCTGGCTCAAATTTTCATAAAGGCGAGGAGGACATGACTGGAGAGGGCGGGGGGGGGGGGGGGAGATTATCCCCTTTGCCTTATTTTCTGAATAATAGGGTGGATGGATCCATGATGCCCCCCCCCCCCACACAGATTTTAAGTAGAAAATTTTAAAAACGAAGTGGGGTGGTGTGTTTGAACTCCCGCCCCTCTAAAGTGTCTTTGTGGCAGGCGCGCCACTAGTAGTAGCAGCAGTAGTAATAAAAGTCAGATCCTTCTGTATATAAATAAATATAAAAGGCCGTGTAAAAGTATTAGTGGATAGTAGAAGTAGCAGCAGTATAAGTAGTAGTAATAGTAGCATTAGTTGTCGTACTGCTGCTTCTGTTGATACTACTTTTATTATCTACGTTGCAAGAAAATAATTTTAGTTGTAATGTTTCTTTTCTATTTTGTGTGTGTCATTGTCTGGGTCTGGCATTGATAACACAGGATTGGCAACATTTTATTAAAGTGTGCTATTTTCTTTTAATACATTTACTCAATGTTTATTCCTAAACAGTTGAAAATTTAGTTTATTTTTGCTAATAAGTAGATTGAACGTGTTTATTTTTAAAAATTATTACAAAAACAACTGAAAGTCTAGAGAGCTGTTTGTTTGCTATTAGCTGTTGATGTGTAAGGTCAATAATATCTACTATTTGTTGCTTCCTGTCAGTAGTAATTCACATGTTGGCAGTCATTCATTCATTCAGTAGCATGTCCCTCGCGGAACCTCGCTGCCATAACAACCCTCCGGAAAACCTTCCTATCATGAGCAAGATGTCCTGCGTCTGATACACCCATCTGGAGATCATCTGCCACATCCTGCACCCATCTTCTCCTTGGCCTTCCTCTTCCTCTCTTCCCAGGCATATACCCCTCCATTATTGTTCTCTCTAGACCTCCATGACGTTTCAAGTGACCAAAATATTTCAATTTTCTTTGTTTTATTGTCTTTACTAGCCAACCCTCTTCAATATTCAGCTCTTGAAGTATGGATGCATTTGTTCTTTTCTTTACCCAAGATGTTGGCAGTGGTGTGTGATAAAAATTAATTCGTTGCGCTGCGAGGAAGAGAGGTCACAGTTTTTAAAAAGCAATTGACTCAAACCATGGTTGTCATATTGGCAATTTTTATGCCAGATTTCACAAATTTGGCATATTTGAAATTGAACTGGCATAAGACAATGAACTGGCATATTTGGATTTTTCCAGGCTTTTCTTATCAAGATGTGCTCATATTTGCTTCATGGTTCCTCCGTTAGAAACATGCAGATTTGCTAAAAGCAATTTAGATCTACAGTTAACATCTTTATTTCAGTTTGACTTTGTTGGGATGTCCTGGTACGGACTAACGGAGATTCGCGCCAATTCTTATTGTAATTATTGTCTTTCTTAACGAATCGTGACTTCGATAAACCCAGGCCCTCTGTTAGTTAGTTAGTTAGTTAGTTAGTTAGTTAGTTAGTTAGTTAGTTAGTTAGTTAGTTAGTTAGTTAGTTAGTTAGTTAGTTAGTTAGTTAGTTAGTTAGTTAGTTAGTTAGTTAGTTAGTTAGTTAGTTAGTTAGTTAGTTAGTTAGTTAGTTAGTTAGTTAATTAGTTAGTTAGTTAGTTAGTTGGGTTATCATCATTGCACTCCGGACATGTCCATAGGTGCTCAGATCCTCCCCTCAGTATGAACCCCAACGTCCGATGGCTAATAGTACCAGTTCTATGTTGATTAACAAGTCTTCTGGTGTGCGTCTAGTTTTTTGCTATGCCGATCTTAATTCCCAAGTCTGCCATTCTGGCGAGTGATGTGGATTCACTGCCACCAAAGTCCTCCATCCTTCCTATTTCTCTGAGGGCATTGATAATATCAGCATGATCCATAGGCTGACCGTCGGTAGTGATAGCGGATCCAGCCAACCTGTCAGCTCTTTCATTTCCATCGACGCCTGCGTGTCCCGGGACAAAAATAAAGGTGACTCCACGCACAGTGGACTTCTGTAATGATTCAAGCCATTGTCTTCGCACTGAACCTGCCTGAACCCTCCGGATCATACTCATTGAATCACTGAGTATACACACGCGGGTGTATTTTTGTGTTTCAAGCCAGGCAAACGCTTGCGTCACTGCCACCACCTCCATCGTCATGCTGCTGGTTGTCATGGAGAAGGCGCCGTTGGCTTCTTTGACTGTTCTGCCCCCTGAGCGTGCTGTGAATGCCCATGCGCTTCCTTTTTGGCGTATAACGGATCCGTCTGTATAGATTAGTGCATCTGCTTCATCTGAATTTTCACTGATGAGGGCGTTGACCTCTGCATTAACAGCAACAGGATTCTCTTCTCTACATCGCCTGTTGAATGTGACAATACAGGAAAATGTACAAATAAACGCCTGAGGCACAGGTATCCATTCTGCGCCAGGTATGATGTCGGTTAGGCTGCATATTTGCCTAATAACATCTTCTGTCCGACCTAGCCACGATTTTCCCCTCTTCAGTCTGTCGCCCTTTTCACTAAAAAGCGCTTGATGCAGTGGGTGTTTCTTATCAGCACATATTTTAAGGTATGCCCGAGCCCTCCACATCCTGATCCTTTGGTTCATTGTTGGAAAGTCAAGTAGATACCTCATGGCTCCACATGATGTGTTTCTTGTACATCCCAAAATAATACGCATGGCTTCATTTTGCACCTTTTCGAGTCGTTCAATCTGGGTAGCACTGACAGTGAGGATGGCCAGAGCGTATTCAATTGGGGAAAGGACCAGACCGTAGAATAGAAGTATTAGTAGTCTTTGCTCGATATTGGAAGCAGCCATAATCCTCATTGCAGATAGACCTTTGCGTGCTTTTGTTATCACATGGTCAACGTGTTCCCTGAATGACAAGCTGCGATCGAACCTCACCCCGAGAAACGTCATAACGTTGGTTCTGATCAATACATTTTCACGCATTTTCACTTCTGGTAAGTCCGACTTGACAATGTGATTTTTCAAAGAGAACCATGACACTGATGCCTTCGAAGGATTGACATAGGCATTGGAACCGTCACACCAGGCGGCAATTCGATCGAGTTCTTTGTGCATTGTGCTGGCGATCTCCTGTCTATCACGCCCTCGTCGATAAAACAAAATGTCATCAGCAAATGACAAAGTCCTTCCCTTTCCATTCAACTGCTGCTCAGTGATCATCACCGTGTAAACGTTGAATAAGACTGGTGATAGCGGTGATCCCTGTGGCAAGCCTGGATATATCGTTTTGCGGTTCTGAGGACCAGTTACCACATCTTAGTACAATCTTTCTCTAGAACAGGACCGTAGCAATCCAGCGGATCAGAATAGGATTTACTTCTAGTTTAAGCAGTAATTGCATTAAATATTCGTATGGTACTTTATTGTAGGCATCTTCCAAGTCCAACACTGCCGCACATGTCTCTTCTTTAATCTGAAATCCCTCGTACACATCGTAGGCGAAAACTGCAGCATTGAACCATGTCTCTTTATTCAACCTGTACCCTCCAAGTGTTGGTGGAAACTTATCATGTAGTTCCAAGTAGGTGGTCAATCTTTGTGCGAAAATTTTCTCCAAAAGTTTGCCAATAGTATTCTGCAACGAAATGATTCTGTAGCCGCAGATCTTTGAGTGGTCTTTATTCGGCTTTGGTAGCGGGAACAAATAACTATAGAGCCATTCCTCTGGTATCTGGCCACTCTGGATGCTGATATTAAATTCCTTTGCCACGCTTTTCAAATCAGCATTCGACATCATCAGCATGTGGTTGTATCGGATGCCGTCAGGGCCTGGAGCAGTGCTGCGTGATTTCTTAAGGTAAGTTCTTAAGGTATCTGCAATGATTGTGAAATCAGTGCCTAGCACAATGTTTTCGCACAGCATCGACAGTTTCATCTTAACCCCTATTCTTGCAGCTTCGTCTTTCTGGTCAGTTTGCTCCAAATAGCGCTCAAGAAGGGTTTTTCCTTGATCAGTATCAGTTCTCTGCCATATCAGGTCTGTACCCTGAAAATCAGGGATACCCCTTAGTCGTGCGGCGCCGTGCATGCTCCGTTGAAGGCGCCAGAATGTCACAAGAGATCCCTCGGAGCAAACGCTCTTGCAGAATTCGTTCCATTTCGCTGCCTTGGCTTCTTTCGCATTTAACTTGAAAGCCACTGTCTGCTTGTTGGCCTCATCTTTCAGACTGATCAGGCGTTCAGAAAGTGACGGATCAGTTTTCCTTGCCTTTTGCCATGCCCTGACAGCTTTCCTTTTTTCTAGCCACGCCATGTTGACTACTTCATTCCACCATGGTGGCTGGTCCCATCTCTCCCGCCGTCTGCGATCTGCTCTTGTTTTACGTCGTCTGATTTTGCTAATGGCATCTTGCCATTATAAATTGAATAAATTATGGAATTGTACAGATAGAACTACAAAGGTCAGATTTTTAAGAGCATGCATCTTTCCCATTGCAACATACGCCTGTGAGACCTGGACACTTACTAAACAAGCGGAACAGCACATAAATGCATTTGAATATAAATGTTACAGACAGGTTCTAAGAATATCTTGGGTAAAGAAAAGAACAAATGCATCCATACTTCAAGAGCTGAATATTGAAGAGGGTTGGCTGGTAAAGACAATAAAACAAAGAAAATTGAAATATTTTGGTCACTTGAAACGTCATGGAAGTCTAGAGAGAACAATAATGGAGGGGTATATGCCTGGGAAGAGAGGAAGAGGAAGGCCAAGGAGAAGATGGGTGCAGGATGTGGCAGATGATCTCCAGATGGGTGTATCAGACGCAGGACATCTTGCTCAGGATAGGAAGGTTTTCCGGAGGTTTGTTATGGCAGCGAGGTTCCGCGAGGGACATGCTACTGAATGAATGAATGAATCTTGCCCTGTACGGTCATATATAAAAGCAGACACACTGATTACATGACCTTTGTTGTTGCTCTTCTCCACCAGGACGACGCAAGGAAAGTGAACACTGTCATGGTATCCCAGTGTGCTCAAACTGCATCCTGATGCAATGGAGGGAGACACTAGGGCCAGGTCAATTACGCTGTCAGAATCCCCTTGTCGGGTTGCCATTCGGGTAACCTTTCCGTCGTTCAAGCATACTAGATCGGCAGACACTAGGGCATCCTCCAGGTCTTCTCCCTGTTTATTGGTGATTACATTGCCCCACTGGTTTCCTCTGGCGTTGAAATCTCCGCAGTAAAGGACTTTCTTTTCTTCCGCCTGGAGCAGACTGGAGATGGCCCTCTATAATATATGTTAAAGCTACTAGAATAAATGCGGGCTATAAAACCAAAACCCACCACTGATACCAAGGGATTCAGACTGTTCAGAAACTACTTGAGGACAGAAAATAGAAAGGATATAAACCTAGTTCTATCTGTCATATATATATATATATTTTTTACTTTTACCAATGGCCACGTCATCCCAAAAAAAAAAAAAAAAAAAGGAATGTATCTTAAGACATCGCAAGTATAATAGTAACTGGATGAAAACATACCCATGGCCCAAAACAATCTTCAGACCTATTGTAAACTGTGTCAGTGCACTGTTGCACCAAAAATTAGTAGCATATCAAATCTTGAAAAATCCGAAAAACACAGGATGAAAACTCTGTCAAAAAGCCAGTCACCGCTTATTACAACAATGACTCCTAGGCAAAGTAATGATAAAGTTAAAGGAAGCGGAGTTGCAACTTGCTGTATGCATGACCTGCCATTGTGCAATACGCACAATTGATTATCTAAGTGAAATCATAAGAGCGCTTGGTCGGGGGAGTACATTGGAGCACATACAACTGCATATAACTAAATGTTCATGCCTAATAAAAAAAAAATAGTATATCGCCTGCACTTAAGGATGACCCTACTGGTGATTTTTGGAACAAGAAATATTCCATCATTATAGATGAGTTGCAAAGACTTTATCCCATCTGAGAAAATGCTAAAAGATTTTATTTCCGAAAAGTTTTACGCCGTGTCTTCCACTTGTTCCAGTGAGGATGACAGTAAAGAATTCAATCTAGAGCTTTGATGTGAAGCGAGTACAATGTTACACTTTATTTGGCATTTTTCTGGCAAATTTTGAGTAATGGTTTGGCATAAAATGAAGTTTTTCACCTGGCAACCCTGACTCAAACTCAGTTTCTTCTCTGTAGTCAGCGTGACGCGCAAACTGCTCTCAGTTGAAGTGTTTTATTCGGCTGACATGGATCACAAGGCAGGTCAGTTATCAAAATTGAACAAAATACAACATAATTTTAAAAGAAATATTTAAATATACGCAGGATTCTATTTGGTATTTGTTTACGAAATAGCAATATGCAATATAAAATGGTTGTTTATTTACAGAGCCGATTTTCGATAACAGAGTCAGTTAAGTTTTGTTTTAGTAGATAGAGGACTATTCCAAAAATCAACCCATTTCTCAATTTGTCTATTGTCTGGTTAAAGTAGAAAAACTAAACCTGTGCCTTAGCCAACACCGTTCTTTGCTTGCACCATTAGGTAGTCTTTCAGCTGACTACATATTAGCATACTGATACTGTCGCATTTGTTTAGTTTAATGTTAGTGGTTCGCGAACAAACCCAGGACATGTATATTTGTTGGTTCTCCCAACAGGCGCCAGTTGTGAAATTAGTATAAATTATAAATTAGAATTAGTTTTGTTATTTTTGTTTCAAGCTGGATGTTTATGATAATGATGCATTTATGATTTGCCGTTTCGACTGAAAACAACATCTAGCATGAAAATAAAGGTGGAGGCGGTAACTTCAGCTCTCCGGTGGCTAGAGAACACATGTAATGATGTAGGTGTCGTAATTTTAACAGACTCTGAAAGCATGCTGGAAAAGGTGAGGACAGTGATGCTTTGAGCAGACTAGCTAGTTTCACTAGAAAGGTCACAGGTGGTGAGCATACTTTTTTGCGGGTTATGCCGGCGTGGTGGGTAATGAAAACTGAAAAGGCAGACAGATTGGCTGGATCTGCACCACATGACAAGGATAAGGTAGCTGTGGTCAAGGCCCTTGGGAACAAGCAATGCAATCAGTAGAGAAAGATTATTATGGCCTGGATAAAATGAGGCAAATAGGTGTAACCAGAGGGTCTGGCTGGCTCACTACACTCAGAGGAAAGGCAAGACGGACTTTTAACCAGATTGTGACTGGTACCATCATTATTGGAGCTCTGCGCTGGCTGATGAAGACGGAGTATGCATGGGAATGGCCCAAGTACTGTGATGTCAATTCTTGACTCAACTCGCTGTTTTGACTGTTCACAAAATGTATCCCCATATCGAGTATTCCAGACGGAGCGTCAAAGCTAAGCGCATTTTTTGGCTATCTTCCGAAAAATGGTCACAAATTATTGAGGCAGAAAATATACATCAACAGGGCCTCAGTCACGTGTCAATTGCATACTTCCAGGGACTATACTGCCGCCGCCGAATTGCGAACTTCCAGGGACTTCCACTACCGCCAAGAGTATTCCCAACACCTCTCACAAGCAAATAAAATGAAGGCAGCTGCAGGAAATGCGGTAGCTGCTGCTCGTGAGTCCTAGCCATCTAGTTTAGCCCCAATCCACACCGCATGAGAGGCGTGGGGATACTCTCAGGGTAAGTTGCCGGAAGTGCGCAATTGACACGTGGCCTAAACCCTGTTAGGGTATATTATCTGCCTCAATAATTTTGGACAGTTATTCGGAAGACAGCCCATTTTTTAACACTTTGTAAACTTCAGTCATCAGTTGCTTCGGTAGACAGTACCCACTGTAAAAGAATCTGATCTGTGTGGTAACCTAACTAGAACCAAACCTTTCTGTGACAAGATAAATTAGGGTCAGTCGTTATGTCATAGACATTAAAAATTAATTGTGTGTGCCAAACTACCTTGGTAGAGGAGAGCTTATAAAATAAAATGAAACTCAATGGTGCACTATTCAGGTCTGTGCGTTAAATGTTAATTAGGTGAAGAAACGTGACTTATTTATATTTACATTTTAGCTGTGGAAATATAAACATGTATACTATTAATTCATTTTAATGACTTTGATGGAGTTAGCTAGTCAACTAGTGAGAATGCCCTGGTACCATCTTTTGATGATGACAGATAGATAGCCACGCTGTAGAAATGTATACTTCAGAGGATATTCTGTTATATATGATATGCTGATGCTTTTATAATTCACCGCAAATGAAGAGTTCATAGCGAGAACACAGACAAATTATTAATGAAGCCAGCAGAGCCTTTGCTGCAACCACTAGTACACTAGTAGTCAATGGCTTAACCATGAAGATGATCATGGCTATGACAAAGAAAGACCTTAGAATGGACTGAGACACAATAATTCACACACATACATTTTCTGAGTGACTAAATATGATTTATAAAAGAAATTTAAAGCTGGCTACATGCAAAGAGAATGGAATCGGGATCAGTCATTACAGTACAGAATGCAACGACTGTACCATCACATTATATTAGTCCCAAGACCAGCCGGCAGGAAGGTAGTCTGGCAGTCTTAGTTTCAGCTTCATAGCAAACAGGTCAACTCATCTTTGCTCCGCTCCTGTGCGAATGAAAAACACACAGAATGTTTATCTCAGTCCCTTGTGGAAAGATTGACAGACTGCTATCTCAGCATATCTAGAATACACACACATTAAAGCATATTGTAGCCATCCGAAGTGCTAACACAAACAGTCCGCCATTAGAAATGAAGTTTATCATTGATGGTATCAGAAGTCACCAACAGATCAGCAGTTGCCCACGCGATCACTTTTAATCACGTACGGTCACCACCAACATTGCGACAACAGGCATCGCACCATTTTCTGAAGCTACAATTCACACCGCCACATTGGTCAGTCGAATTAACATACTAAATGAAAGCTGCAGCTCAGTGTCGTGCCTTGCATTCAACTCAGAAACTGGGCGATGAAACTATATCCAGTCTGCAAATGGAGCAAAAATGCATCGGCCACCTTCCGGCAGAAGAAAAAAATTTGCCTAGGCTCCGAACAGTGCCCCTGCCTAGCGTCCATTGAATGAGAGGGCATTTGCAAGGGCCCCACTTTAGGAAGTTGACCTTCTGTGAACAGAATGGACATAATTAATGCAGTACAAGAGATATGTGCTGAATACTTCAAACTTGAGGCTACTGGTTATTTTTTTTACTTGATGTACCAATTAGAGCAGCATGGGATATGAAAACAATACAAGAACTCAATCAGCAAATATAGAAGACAAGTTACCAGTGTATACACACTAAGAAATATGCTTAGGAGATGATCTAAGCACCTATGGGTATGTCCGATATGCCGAAAAGATGAATATTGAAATGAGCAATGTTCAGTGATAAAGTACTGATAATCTAGTTATATATAAGTATCTTGGTTGTCAGTTAATTAAATTACCTTGTGAAAAATCAGTGATTGGAATGTACAAAGGGCCTGCCTGCTCAGTTTGTGACCTTTGGAAAATAAAGTTCCTTCATTACCGAATGATTTAAAAGGTGGTGCAGTTCTTCGTGTAGAACCATTTCCGGCTATTATCTTAGTGATCAGATAATCTGTATTCTTCTTGTTTTATATTTCTTCCCCCACTAGAAAATACCCTAAGTTTGTCATGGCATGATACAGCTTGGGTTCCTCATTTGAACCAAAGTAATATCTTGGATTACTTTTCTGAGAGGTCTAACCCATTCTACGATAGGACTTGTAATAACGAGACCATCAAGATGCAGCGGCTCAGTCCTGATCAGTTATTGTAAGTATTAGCTTTAGAGTTTACCAAAGGTTAAGTAATCGTTTACAGGATTGGGATGCAGTGGTGCTGAATCACAGGTGTAGCACCAGGATCAGGGCTGATACTGGTCAACACCTGTCTCGCCTCTCTGTGGTCATCCTAGAAACAGAACCTGGTCAGTTTAGATACACACTTTTCCCGGAGTTGAGGAACCAACAGTCTGCACACAATTAAGGCAGGTCTGTACAATGACTGTGCTTGCAAAACTTGAAGTCATGGCACAAGCGCAGACTTCAGACTTGGGACAAACAACCAGAACTTTCAGTTAAAGTTTATTGCTGCTATGTAAACTAACTCTCAGGCAGATGTGCTCAGATTTGGAATAAAATATCCCTAATTGGTTACTGTTAAAAATTCTTGTTTTTAATCTGACTTGATTTGACCATATAATGAGAATACTCTGAAATCGGCTGCCACAGTACTTTAAAGAATGTAATGAACAAGGAAAAGGCCATACAAAATATGAAACACTGGCAGGGAAATGAAAAACGGTTGTACACGCAAAAATCAGGTCCAGGTGAAAGCCAAAAATCCAAGCGGACGATTAACCGGGACCTCCCACTGGAATTCACAGCCGGTGATCGATAAAAAAAATAATAATAAAAATAAAAAATATAATCTCTTTTTGTAGTGGTACTCTTTAACCCCTTCAGGATTAGACAGTTGGTGCTTTTAAGCAAAAATTATTCAGTATGGGAGTAAATAAAAGGTATGCTTAGTGCTGAAAGAATTAGTAAAAAAAAAAAATAGCTGGCTAGAGGATATATCCCAAGGGATTTATTTCAAAGGAATTGGAACAGAAACTGGTTGGTCTATAAAATAAAATGTCAAATTTTCATCAGGGGAATATGCTTAGAAAGTTATAGGTTAACAATTTGTGCCAAAAAAAATGTTTTAAGAGGCTTTTTTAAATATCTTTAATGGATTTATTTTAATAAACAAAAAAATGTAGATGTTTATAGTGGTTGCTGTTCTAAATATATTTCTTTTCTGCAGAAACATGACAGGACTTGAATACTCACTTCTGCATGCCCAAGAGCCAATCTTGTATGTTATACGGAAGCAGTATCGACACTCTCCTACTCAAGGTGCTCCTTGTGTTGTCACTTTATGTAAAGTTAATGACATGTAATACCGTGATCCAGTATTTGTAAATAAAAAAAAAATTCTTGTTTTTAATCTGACTTGATTTGACCATATAATGAGAATACTCTGAAATCGGCTGCCACAGTACTTTAAAGAATGTAATGAACAAGGAAAAGGCCATACAAAATATGGAACACTGGCATTGAGAATAGTTTTAGAGAGATGAAAACCACAGAGCACTTTATTGAGATAAATAAAGGAAGAGATATTCCTTGGTTGCTCACTAGCTAGGCGTAAATGACCTTTTTTTTTTTCTTGTGTTGCATTTTTAGTTGATGCAGGTGGGGTCCAGATTTGTACAGACAGAAGGAGGTGGTTGTGAACCTGCTTTTGTTTGGTGAAACAGGCAGTTACCTTTGAGTAAAGTTGATTTTGTATGTGAGGAAGATGGATTCATTTCTGCTTCATTATATTGATACTTTAAGATGCACCTGAATATATACAGCCAAAGATACAATGCAGTAATCTTGTGCAATCTTGTTTTTTATTTTTTTTATTTTATATATTCAGATGAATTATTGCTAGTTAGACACAGTTACATGTTATCATGATATTCATATATAAATGAAAAAAGCTTGTGAGCTAATTGTTATTACATTTCTGACATTTCAGTGACACCTCTGGCAGATTACTACATTATTGCAGGCGTAGTTTATCAAGGTCCTGATCTGTGTACAGTGGTGAATTCCAGGCTGGTAAGAAAATATTTGAATGCTTTTTTTCTTCTTCCATTAACCGCATTAGATGTTCAGTGTTTGTGACCAGCTCCATTGATATTGGAGTAGAGCATTTATGAGAATATCTCACTTGCTGTAATGTCATATTTTTAGCTCATATGTAAGTCCGTATATAACTAATAGGCCGAAATGGAGGCATTAAGACAGAGCATGCTACTTGAAAAGCAGCTGCTGTAAGATTTTTACATACCATAAAACAAGGGTTTCTTAGCAAAAGAGAAATTGGCAAGAGGATGAAAATGGTTGTTTAACGCTCAGCCAGTCCTGACCTATGGGTATGAGTGGTGGGCAATGACAACAGGTAATAGAACTCAGATTCAGGCCTCAGAAATGAGATATCTGAGAAATGTGGTCCGAGTGACAAGAGTTTTGCATGCACGTCCACTTTAAAGATCTAGCTTAATGATATGCAGACTGTTAGTCACTCGCTTCTGAGGCAGATGCATTCTGACTTTGAAGGGAAAAAACCCTATTTAGTGGCCTTTTTTTTTTTACACCTATTTGTTAGGGGCCAGTGGCCCTCCCCCAGGATTTCTGAAGAATGACCACATTCTGTTTGTCAAAATAGGCTTTTTCTAATGACTAGAGAATAGAGAGAGATGTCAGGCCTAAAACAGTCCAGTAGGTCACTAAGACACCCGGTCTTACCACCCTCTAAAATATTGGACTGTCCCGTGAGGTCATATGTTGTCGGCTGTTCGACAGAAATGTATATTCTTTATTTGGTACTGCATTTTTGAGTTTGCGACTAATTAAAGATTTGCTGATATCAGATATCATAGCCTAGCTGTAAACAACACAGTATAGCAGCTGACTTTTTAAGAGCAAACGCTGAAGAAGAAAATTTTGCATATTAACTTCTGCCTATGGTTAAGGCTTATTGAAAGAATGTCAGATGACAAAGAAGTGAAAACTGTATACACCAGGGAGATGAATGGTCGTAGACCATGAGGGAGACCAAGAAGACGTTGAAGAGATAATATCAAGAGAGACCTACAAACACTTGGTGTTACCAGCTGGAAAGATAAGGCTAACCAGAGAGATGAATAGAGCCATGTGATATCTGCAGCAGTGAACCTCAAGAGATTGGAATGCTGAAGAGGAAGAAGAACTTCTACTTAACTTTTATATATATGTATGAAAGAGTTGTTTAAAAACAATTTTTCAAATATTTGCAGCTCAATACTCTTCATAATCTGCAGTCAGCATTTGATGAAGGTCAGTTTTTCATGTGTCAGTGTCTTATGTTAGTTTGTTTGGTTTGAGGGGGAAGGGTAGATTAGGGCAAAATTATGACAAAGTTAGATCAAGAGAGATCTTTGAAATAGTCGGCTTAATTTAATATGTTGTGATCTTAATGAAAGTAGATTTGTAAAATGATCAGTTGATGTAAAGTTTACACACAAAAAAATTGTAAAATATAAAATGGTTTAAAGTTAATTTTTATAGGTGATATTGTGTGAAGTTATTCTTAATTTAAAATTTACCTTTTTGAGACTTTATGGTATTTAAATATATTCTGTGAATGTTTGTGTGTGTTAAAAAAAATATTGCATACTGATAAACTTATTTGATACTTAAGTCAAACTTGTTTTTAACATATATTATTTAGTCATTTTCTTTTCATTGTAGCGCAAGGATATGCCAGGTTTCATCCATCAAAGGGTTATTCGTGGGAGTTCAAAGAAAAAGAAGAAAAAGGTACTATCTTCATTTTGATGTTATCATGTTTCCTGGACATAAATAAAGTAGTTTCAGGCAGTTACATGCATTTATATTTGTTACAAAACAGTAAACCTTCATGGATGGAGAGAGATAGTTACTCTTCTGTTGTTTACTCAGTTGTAGCGCAGTTTGAGTACTGATAGACCAGCATTTCTCAGCCCATGGGTCGAATGACACTTTCACAGGGGTCGCCTAAGACCATAAGAAAACACATTTTCGCTGAAATTATTAAGTAGCAACGAAAATAGATTGTGTGTTTGGGGGTCGCCACCGCATGAAGAACTATTAAAAGGTCACCTGGGAGACACTGCGATAGACTAAGCTGGAGTGAACCAGTTACCATTATTTGATTGCAATACTGAGCCTTTGTTTAAGCCTGTGTATTGTATGCATTTGTTATTGCTGGAAAATGTGCGCACACTTTCATCTGTTAGTTAGTTAGTTGGGTTATCATCATTGCACTCCAGATATGTCCATAGGTGCTCAGATCCTCCCCTCAGTATGAACCCCAACGTTCGATGGCTAATAGTACCAGTTCTATGTTGATTAACAAGTCTTCTGCTGTGTCTGGTGTGCGTCTTGTTTTTTGCTGTGCCAATCTTAATTCCCAAGTCTGCCATTCTGGCGAGTGATGTGGATTCACTGCCACCAAAGTCCTCTATCATTCCCATTTCTCTGAGGGCATTGATAATATCAGCATGATCCATAGGCTGACCGTCGGTAGTGATACGGATCCAGCCAACCTGTCAGCCCTTTCATTTCCATCGATGCCTGCGTGTCCCGGGACAAAAATAAAGGTGACTCCACGCACAGTGGACTTCTGTAATGATTCATCTGTGAACGTATGTAAATGCTGTAATATATACAGTCTGCAAAAACTATAACATACTTCAGCGCACACAAATTCTGTACAAAAATAATAATATATAATTTATTTTGATATATGTGATGAGGGGAATTCCCGGGAAGGTTGACGAAGCAGTATTACAGGCCAGTGAGAAACGTGTAAAGCAAGGGAAGTGATTCTCACGCGTGACACTAAACAGTTACAAGACCAAATCTTGTGGGAAGGGAACACAGGTTTTGAGACCGGCAGTTGTTATTTCATGATGTTAGAGGCAAGAGGTTTTGTGTCGAGTGACTGAAGTGATCAGTGATTCTGAGCTGAGGGAATGTGGACTTGGAACGCCAGGAATTTCGGATGAGAACTGATTCTGAATTGTGATGCCCAGTGACTGCGAACTGTGTGGTGCTGTGATTAAGATGTCAAAACTCTGCGCGAATTAACTATTTGTTCTGAAAGATAATTGCTGGTTGTTTAGTTGTAATCCTGTTGTGGCCGGCAGTCTAGAGCATTCGGTAAACGACCGAGAAAAATTTAGGACGACGACGGAATGACTCTTTTGATAGACTATAATAAATTATGTTGAAGTCGTCGGTTGTTTTGATAGTACCTCTGTGTGTCCACATCTATATGATAACGGAGAAGATAGAGAGTTGTCATCATTATAGACTGAGCCAGAGTATCAACAGAGCAACGACATTGTAAAATCGAGTGATAAATACAAGTTATCTTTGGCTGCCATTATTTCTGCAACGTATTGTAGTCAACTTAAGCTAACCTAAAGGTCTCCATTCCTTTAGGCATATCGGACTAGACCTATATTTTTATAGACCAATCCGCACAAGATGGGTGATGTGGTCAGCATCATGCCGGCGACCTTTACTTCCGGGGACTGCATCTGGTGCCCAATTGAGACTAGGTCAACATGGGAGTTAAGGTCATTTTTGAAAAATTAAAGTGAACTACTGTTTGGATAATGTAGGTCAAAGTGTTAGTGGGATTGCAGTGCGTGCTGTTTCAGTTTCCTCTGAAGGGGCTGCATGTTTCAACTTTTGAGAGAGGGAGAGCATCGTACTTTACACTGATATCAGTTTGCACTTGTTTTGAATAAAGAAATCTATGTATGTATTCTAGGGCCCCTATTGTGGGGGAGAAGAGTAGACCCACTCCCTCAAGCCGAATGTATCTGCCTTAAGAGGCAAAGTACGAACAGTGCACGCAATGAGCTCACAAAACTCCAGCTTTGGAACAAGACCAAGGTCCAGAAGTGGATGAAAAACCAGAACTTTCTGTCGTAGTTTACAGCCTGTGAACACTAAGAAGAAGAATAAAAGTCATAGATGACATGTTTTATTTGTGTACATTTGTCAACAAACTGCACAAGAGGTCTGTGCACCAAGAAGCTGACCTACATATTTTTAATAATACCTGGTCTTTACACAGCGTAAGTGTGCAATGACCAGATAGAATTTAACTACCCTTTTTGAGAACAGTTCACTGCAAACATGGCCAAGTTTCTACATTTACGGGATGTGACAGAACAGAAGGGAGGAAGAGATTGTAATTTCACAGCAGGACAATGATGGTGACATGTTTCACTGCCATAATTTTCAGTGTTGCTAGTTTGCACTTCATAACATGTCTTATATTTAATACTTTTATGACAGTTGAAGTCAAGATATGGTAATTCTGATGTTGCGATTTGCATTTGTGTTTCAGAACCTGCTGCAAAGGACAAGAAATTGAAAAAGAAAGAGGAAGCTAGCTCGGCATTCCAGAGGAAACGTGTTGATCTTTTGCTAGGAGAGTTAGCCAAAAAACACCCTCCGCTGTTTATGCCCCCACCCCACCAGACACCAGCGAAAGGTTTGTTGTTATTAATAATAAATATATTAAATATACTCTTTAACTTCTTCATTATGGATGCCTCAGTACATCTGTCTGCTTTTCTGGAATGCCTCTTGATGATTATGTTCAACCAAATTTGTGTCTTTTTATTACATGCTTAGAGTGTATTTTCTTCTTTTTCATTTGTTTTAACCAGTCTTCTTGAGTAAGAAGTTCTTGTTGAATTAATATTTCATTCTTGTCTTCACCCAGTAGAGTTTAAAGACTTTTTGTTATCATATGCATTTAAAGTGCACATGTTTATCAGCTGATTTGTTCAGTGCGAAAATGTTTCACACTCATGACACTTTCACTGCAGGAAATCAGTGATAGGCTTGGCATAATGAGGGAGTAACTAACTTCTGCCTTCATTGCCTTTACTATCCCTACTTTAAATGGTTAGGTGATCACAGAGCCATATGGCACAACTGTTTATTTACATGCTGTAGTCTTCAAGAAAATAATGCCCACAGATAAAACTGGCTGTCACCCAAAAATAACAATAAATGATGAAGAAAGTGAAAATGTCACAAACTTTGAATATCTAGGCTCTATAATAAACAACAATGGAGACTGTTCGACAGAAATTAAAAGGAGGATGGCCATAGCAATGCAAAGATTGAACAGCCTTAAAAGTCTATGGTTAAGCACCAGCAAGGAGATAAAAATTAGAATTTTGAGAGCATGCATCTTCCCTGTGGCTACATACGGATATGAGTCGTGGACTATCTCTCAGTCCTTAAGAAAGAGAATAGGGGCTTTTGAGCTGAAATGCTATAGAAAGATTCTCAGAATATCTTGGACAAAGAAGATGAGAAATATTGACATCTTAAAAGATCTGAACATCAAGGAAGATTGGCTAATAAACAGCATCCTTTATCGAAAGCTGAAATATTTTGGTCATATCAAGCTCCACGCCGGATTGGAAACAATTATAGCAGAAGGCATGGTACCAGGAAGGAGGGGCAGAGGCCGACTGACACGAAGATGGGCACAGGATATAAGTGACTCCTTGAGTGTGAAAGTTCATGAGGCGGGAGAACTGGCAAGAGACCGAGTTTCTTACAGGCAGACTGTGATGAGAGCGACGTTCTGCAAAGGACCTGCTACATGATGATGATGAGTCTTCAAGAAACAAGGAAAGGGGAGGGGGTGTCGAAGAAGAGAGAAGCAAAGAAGAACCTGGAATGACAGCATCAGAAATGGACAGAATTAAATCATTATACGCTTGTTCAGCATGCAGCGGGCAAAAAGATGGCTGGTTTTGAGTGCTATTGCTTTCATCGATACACATCCACGACCCTAATCAGACAAGAGTTATAATTATAATCTTCTTGTGCTAGCCCTGATTTCATTTTATGTTGATGTAGCATTGCAAATAGTAAACTTAAGTGTTTGTCTTTTCTGATTAGCTGCCATGTGTCATTTCCTATCAAAAAATGTCACATTTCTATGATGCATCTTTAGTCCTGCACTAATCGTTGCTGCTTCTAGCTTCCAAAATTGTGGTCTTTACCTCATTCTGTCAGTCCCCAATGCTCTGATCTGCCTCCACTTCAGAAGCCTGAAATCATTTTTTAAAATAACTTTATAACTAATGCTGAAGAAGGAAAAGATCTGTTCACTAATTGTTTCCAGCTACTTCTTATGTAACTACCCCTACGAAACTGTTGAACACCATCCCTTTGAGTGCCCAAAACTCAGCGAGACTAGAAGAACGCTACTCCCTCCGAGACCAGACAAGTGGAACACCTTGTACGGAGGAAAAGAACAGCTTGTGAAAACATGCAAATTCCACTACATGGCATTGGGCCAAAGGGCGAAAGCTCATGCGCCGCTGGATCGATAACAACAACCAGCTACTTCTGCATAGAATATCAGCAGATGAGATTTGTGGCCAATGGTCTGTAGTTAAGCATGGTGGCCAAAACACTACTATAGGAAATGTTTTGCAGTCTCAGGTAAAATAGTTTCTGTTGATGAACATGTCTAATTGATGATTCATTGATTTTGATCAGCAGTGTCAGGGGAGGAAGTCAAGCATGAGGTCAAAGTGGAAAAGCTTGAGGAAAAGCCAGCGACAAATGGCAGCATGCGACCACCACCTGAGAAAAAGCAGAAACTGAGATGAGGGGGAAGTACAAGAAACAGTGTGTATAGACAGACTTTACTGTACAGATTGGTGTACCCTTGTGTAAAGGGACCAGTTCCATAACGACCTTGGAGTGTTAATCTGCTTTGGTCAAGACAAGGGAGGTAAATTGTGCCTAGTTCTCTCTCCTGTGGTCGGATTCATTGACCTAGTTGCAGCAGTGTTTGTGAGGGATTCTATTGATGCTCTGCTAGATAACTTTGAGTACTGAAGTCCACACTAGCCTATTTGTCTGCATAGACAGTATTGGTTTCCAGATTACCATAGTGCAGCCTTTTGCTCATGTTAACCAGTGCCGGCTAATTTTAAATAGATAACATAATGTGGCACTCATGTTGTATAAAGGGCTGGGGTCATTAGAGCAACATATGCAGTGTGTGTTGTACTGAAGTTGTTCTTTGTCTTGCATTGTAATGGAACATGAGTTGTATTGAAGTTGTTGTCTTATATTTAAAGGGTGCTTAGAGCAGTGATAGTTCTAAGCTGGAATATGACATTGGGCAAGTGGTTTCCTGGCAACTATTTTCCTACCGTGTGCTCATCTTAGCCTTATCCTGATAATATTAAAGAGGCGATAACAGAATCCGCCACCCAAACTGAATATTATTATGTATAATATGGTTCTGCAGAAAAGAGGAAATAAAAGGTGTATGTGCGTATTAAATTTGTTGTTTGTCATTGTCCTAATTTATGTTGGGTCACTTTGATACAGTTCACTTCACCAGTTTGAGTGATTGGCCTGTGTTGGAAAATATGAAGCTAGTCTCGAAGTGGTTACTGCCATTGTAGTGTGAGCTTTTAGGGGCTTACATATCTTACTTATCCTCCTATCCTTCTGCCAACTTGTTTACCAGGGAGGCTCACCTTTTGTGTAGTTGACCTCTACTTCTTGCTTGTTTCAGAGCAGTTGCGCTGGATTTGGGCTGCTGGTTAGCGCAGGGAATTCTTTTCCCTGCTACTTAAAATAGTTATTGTTTACAGCACTAGTTGTTGCTGATGATGTTAAAGGGGCAGTCATATTGAAATGGAAGTTTCCTTGCCTTTCCATAGTGGCATTCCTTCTGATGGGAACCTTCTCAGAACCATCCACATCTATCTGGTTTCTTGCTTTTTTTTGGGTTGGTACCGCTGCCAGTTCGGGCCATTGAAGTTTGTGGCGATGCTTATGTGGGCTAAACTTTCCATGCAGGTGCTGCCTGGTGTGCTTGTCTGTGAGCAGGCCTTCTTTGGAGTTTTTCCAGACTTTGTTACTCTAGTGTTCATCATTGCTGCATGTTGTTACTCTAGTGTTCATCATTGCCGCATGTTGTTACTCTAGTGTTTATCGTTGCCACATGTTGTTACTCTGGTGTTTATTGTTGCCGCGTGTTGTTACTCTAGTGTTCATCATTGCCGCATGTTTGGCAGGCAGGGCATCTGCCTGGGATGCTGATGTAGACAAAACTGCTCTTACCTGCTATCACTAGTGAGTCAGTTTTTGTGTAGTGTGGTATTTCTTGGGTTGGGGTACAATTCGCTCAGCTTTAGAGATTTAATAGATGTCAGGGTTTGGGTGCCCCTGACATTTCTGTAACTAGGTCCTTAACGCCGTCACTATCCAAGGTTATAGGAACCCAGTTCATTTTAACTTTAGTCTTCTCCTACCCCAGGTTGAAGACCTGGATTGTCACCTCATCATCTCAGGCCGAGAGGAGTTTACCATGGAGTACGTCTCTGACGTGCTTGGGGCAAGATTCTGTCAGGTTTAGCTTGTATCCTCAGGTATGGTTTGAGGGGTTCTGCTTGGATTTATAGCTCTTCTATTATGAATTTCTTATCATAAATCTGTTGGTATTTCTGCTCATGTGCAGATTTGGTTAGCGTGAAAAAAGCACCTAGTTGGATTGGCGAATCTATATACATCGCCTTTTCCTCCTGGGTCCAAGATGGAGAGCTACGCGCTGCTGCACCTGGTCCATCTATCGTGGCGACCAGTATTCCTTTCCTGTGAACATCTCCAGGAAAAGTGTTTGCGGCTACATTCATCTTAAGGTCGACATCTCTGGTTATTTGAGGATAGGTCACTCATCATGGTCTGGAAAGCTCCTGCTACACTTACATCCTCATTCGTGGTCATGGGAAGCTCCTGCTACACTTACATCCTCAGTCATGGTCATGGTAAGCTCCTGCTACACTTACATCCTCAGTCATGGTTGGGTGTTGCTCCTGCTACACTTACATCCTCAGTCATGGTCATGGTAAGCTCCTGCTACACTTACATCCTCAGTCGTGGTCATGGTAAGCTCCTGCTACACTTACATCCTCAGTCGTGGTCATGGTAAGCTCCTGCTACACTTACATCCTCAGTCATGGTCATGGTAAGCTCCTGCTACACTTACATCCTCAGTCATGGTCATGGTAAGCTCCTGCTACACTTACATCCTCAGTCATGGTCATGGTAAGCTCCTGCTACACTTACGTCATGGTCATGGTAAGCTCCTGCTACACTTACATCCTCAGTCGTGGTCATGGTAAGCTCCTGCTACACTTACATCCTCAGTCATGGTTGGGTGTTGCTCCTGCTACATTTACATCCTTAGTCATGGTCGGGGGGAAGCTCCCGCTACGCTTACATCCTCAGTCATAGTTTGGGGGAGGGGGGGGGGTTGAGGAGCCTCTGGTACGCTTTCATCCTCAGTAATTTCCCTCAAAATTATTTCACTATATAGAGAGAAAAGGTCTAGGGATAAGACACATCTCAGTCTCACTCCTTGCTTTATCTATTCAAAAGTACCCAGGGTACTATGTACGCTGAGGATATTTTATATTATTCGCGAGAATACTGTTTGCTAACCGAGAGCTGTGGATTTGGTCCCGATACAATCTTTTCTTGGGAGCACCAGACGATGATGTAAAGTATGGTTTATGAAACTGACATCATGTTCCACACAGAATTTCTGCAGTGTTAAATCGGCAGCGTCTGCCATACGGCGCTGGAATCCATAGCATGGCACAATAATAGATGATATAAAAATAGAGGATTCTGGAAATTTACTGCTCAGCAGGACCAACAGTGTAGTCATTTGTGATGAACTAATGATTGTGTCGTTTATAATGTCGTTAACACCAATGTGCACAGTGGTTCTTTGAATGTTGATATTGAACTTATGCAATGGGGCAGTCAATCTATCAGCTCCTGCACCTAACAGAGGATGAACTCATTTTCAGATGATGACATACGATCACTCTATTTTCCCTTTAGCAATGAGTCACCTGTAATTAAATGTGTTGCACTAGGGTCAACGTTTATGTCATCCTGCCACACCCCCATCTAGGGCTTTACTGTTGCAGATTTTTATTGCCATCTTGATCCACTTGTGCCGTAAGAGGCTGTTGCTGTGGCATGATAAACGATGTTGATGAAGGTGCAATTTGTTTATGCTTTGTGTCTGTGCTTTCATTTAGGGCCTGAAACCTGTTGGTTACCTGCACCCGAATAGGATAGATGGAAGGTGTTCGCTTAACAGTTACAGACTCTGAAGTGGCACCTGTGTTTTCTTCCTCACTTACAGACACAAAAACATTTTCACTGAGTCTTTTTTATCGAAAATGTCTGTTTGTGTAGTACTGTCAATGGAAACAATTTTTAAAGCATCAGTTGTTTTTAATGAGGCATTCTCGTCTTTTAGTTGCTTTATTTCTTTCTTAAGAAGTTCAGGCTCTTCTTTAACTGAAGACATCATGTTTGAGCAACTTTCAGAAAAAAGCCTCAGCCTATCCTCCACTGACTGAATTAATTCACTACAGGTGATGTTTTTATAATGCTCATGGACTTGTTTCGGTTTCAGCAGGCTTAAATAGTGATGGGCTTCTGTCACAGTGATGTGATGGAGAAATACTGACTGTTGAAATTTCACTTATGTTCACATTGGGTAGCATTTTAGTCAATATTACAATACAAGATGGCGTAGTACCCCTAGCTTTGTGAGTGGCTGTCTCCATCCATATATACTTCAGTCTGGCACGCAGTGATATTGTTCCTCACAAGAGTCAATATTCCACCCTTTTTCCTGCCTTTCTGGTCTGATCGGAAGCACTGATAACCTCTGATTTTGAAGACTGTGTCTTCAGTGGAGTGGGTTTCTTGTAGACAGCATATATGAATCTGTTCCTCATTTAGAATGTTTTCTAACTCTAGCTTTTTTTTTTAATCCCCTCCGCATTCCAGTGCATTATTTTGACTCCTTTCTTAGCTCGGCCAGATGCTCTATTCTCACGTCCCCTGGCTCCACAGGACATTTGAGAAGGACCTCCAGTAATTTGGTTTAGGCCTCTTCCATGCAGAGGGCCCGGCACTGCTCCTGCGTGAAAGTCTATCACAGGGCGAGCACCATATTGTTTTGCTGATTTAGACATATTTCCATGGGGTGTGTGCGTGGCATCCTGATTGCTGTGGTGTGCCTCCGACTTCAGCACCTTGTTTTGCAAGGGTAGACTGGTCATACTCGAGAGTAGACTTATCCCTTCGTCTTTTGCCTTTACCTTGTTTGTTGTCCCATCCAGTTTCCCGCTGGGGGTTGAAACTTCAACTGGATTGCTGGATAGAACACAGTCCACCACATGAAGGTGAGGTTGGCTTGAGCAAGAGAGGCTAATAGACATTAAGAGTCTTGTATTGCGCATCATTGCTCCATTTATACTCTAAAAACTCAATGGACCACTGAATGAATTAACAGCAGTGAAATTTATACAAGAGACAAAATTGCTGATATAGGCAACTTATTTCAGGCGAACGAAAGAAGAAGAAGATGGCATAGTAGTGGAAATCGGGCTTGTACAGCGATTAATTTGTTTAGGCGGCGTGTGAGATGTCTTAGAATTTGCCTTGCCTGTGTTTACTTTATTCCCTCGCTTGGCCATTGTGCTTTCACGTAAACTAGAGGCCATCTTTTTTGAGCTGCAGTTGTTCGCTCCACTGTTTCTTTGTTCACACAACTACC